GCATGACTTGACAAAAAAAAACAGAAACAAACGCACACTTTGGGGCATTTGGTGTGTACTGGTTGAATAGTATACAGGTCACAGGACAACGTGTTTGAGATATTTCACTTACCTGACTTCCATTCACCACAACCATTGACTCGTTGTATGCCATTGCAGTCAAATGACAGTTCAGAAGGAAAGAAGCATCAAACGAAGACCACCACAGTTGTTTTTCTGCTCATACGACTGAAACGTTTTCTTTATGTTTTTAAAATAAACTTTTAAACTACGCTCCGAATGAAGCTTTACTTCTTCCGCGTGCTTGTGTCAGCTGATCTGGGACGAAGCACGCGCCAGCGTTCAATTGCTCAAATCTGTTTCAGCTGCTTATGTTGCCATGAAAATAATGGTGAGTGAGTAGCATTCCTGCTAGCAATCCAGACAGCTTTCGTTTGAAAAAGTAACAGTTCTAGTCACTGGATGTTGGGGTAAGTTTGCAAAGTATGTGTTACAAGTGTTACACAACGCATAATAACTCAGAAGTCATATTTCACTGTATTATAATTTCGCTAATCATATTTAACTGTCCTATTCGTGTGTTCACATAATCGCTTAAGTTAAAATAACACATTAAAGCTTTATTGTTGTTATATGACAGGACACGCGGAAAGAGAGACGCACGAACGCTTCGGTTGGGCGCGCCATGACGTCACATCGGATCCTCCCACAGGCTTTTGGAGACGAGCAGGATCTTATGATGGCGGCAGCGCACGGACACTAGAATAATGCATTTACTTAGTTAGGCTGCTAAAATGTGCTTCATAGGACATCATTGGAAATCTGTTTAAATTATCATCTTTATAGGAAATGAAAGGATTGTGCCTGTAAATGTTCATACCTGTCGTAACACAGCGGAGCGCGTGTGTGCAATTTCAGGTAAAGTGGTTCATTGTGGTCTCTTTTTACCAAACTTAATGATAGGAAATGCTTTGTAATGCATGTTTAACGCTTGTGAAGGAAGAACCCTTTTTTTATTATTATGATTATTTTTATAGATGTTTCGAAAGAAAGGAAGCGGACTAAGACGCTCTATAGCCTAACGTTACGCAAAATAAGCCGTTTTCATTTTTAAAGAATTTGAGTTGGTTGGATTTCAGCAGTGTAGCCTACATATGTGAGAGTTTTCTAAACACTAAAAATATAATAAATATTGTATTTTTTTTGTATTGGAACTGATTTGTGTTACTAAGCTGCTTTACCTATCGCTTAATGTCTACAACCCTTTCAGATTTATTTGTAACTTGGGGGGGTCAATGTGAAATGTGTTATGGTTTATTTTGATAAATCATAATGACCTCAACTTTGACTATAGTCAGAAAATGTTTTGCACAAGTGTTTTCGGCTGCTTTAGGCAGCTCTGTAAATGACTATATTTAGGCATGCATAAACATGACGATATGAAATATACTAAAATACATTTGCATTTAAATAATATGAATTATTATTACAAAAAAAAATATGTTCCCATTTAAGGGTAATACCGAGTGCTTGGTATCTGGTTCAGAAGCTCATTCGTCATGCAGACAATAAAGAGAAAATTGTTGCCCGATGCTGGAAATTTATGGTTACCCTTCTCTGCCCTAATAACTCACGCAGTGTCACGCGCTGACAGCTTGTGCAGAAAACAGTCACACATCTTTACATACTGGAGAAAGACTCTGTGTTAAGCTTGTTTAAAATGGCCGATATCAACACTAGTGTCTGTTTGAATCTGTGTACAGCAGTCTTCCCAGTATTTGCACTTTCAAAAACGTATACAAATATGTAATGTTAATGTACAAATCAAGACTGAAAAAGGCTGCTCAATTTTATATATATATATATATATATATATATATATATATATATATATTTCTATTTGTTTCGACTCGACATTCAAGGGTTTTCAAAATTGTCTTCTAACAAGGCCTGTGTGTTATATGGCTAAATAATTCTAACTTTCTAAATATTAGAACACGTAAACTACGCTAAAAAAAAAGCCAAATGCTGAAATGCAATCAGTAAATATTGATTTCTGGAGAGTGAGAGAGCGTGTGTGTGAGAGAGTGAGATAGGATTAATAATTAGCTCACACGTTTATAGGCTTTTACAACAAAATTATTTATGTATAATTTTAAAAGTTAGATGCACTTAGAATATGTGAGCAATGTTATTTTTATGAAGAAGAGGGGTGAGATGTTTGTATAGAGATTAAAACCGCGTTTTAGGATTAGGGTAAACCAGCAAAGTTTATTGTTTGTCATAGATCAGGGTTATCTGTTTCAATGTGTCTGACATACTCCAACAAAATGTACATTTATTTCTTTCACGCTGATGACTGTCCACTCCAGGTTTTCTTGCTCTCCTAGATGACCTGTCAAGCGGATTACCGCAGAAAGAGATTAATGGTGGAGGCGGGTTGCAATAATCTAAGACGCTCTATAGCCTAACGTTACGCAAAATAAGCCGTTTTCATTTTTAAAGAATTTGAGTTGGTTGGATTTCAGCAGTGTAGCCTACATATGTGAGAGTTTTCTAAACACTAAAAATATAATAAATATTGTATTTTTTTTGTATTGGAACTGATTTGTGTTACTAAGCTGCTTTACCTATCGCTTAATGTCTACAACCCTTTCAGATTTATTTGTAACTTGGGGGGGTCAATGTGAAATGTGTTATGGTTTATTTTGATAAATCATAATGACCTCAACTTTGACTATAGTCAGAAAATGTTTTGCACAAGTGTTTTCGGCTGCTTTAGGCAGCTCTGTAAATGACTATATTTAGGCATGCATAAACATGACGATATGAAATATACTAAAATACATTTGCATTTAAATAATATGAATTATTATTACAAAAAAAAATATGTTCCCATTTAAGGGTAATACCGAGTGCTTGGTATCTGGTTCAGAAGCTCATTCGTCATGCAGACAATAAAGAGAAAATTGTTGCCCGATGCTGGAAATTTATGGTTACCCTTCTCTGCCCTAATAACTCACGCAGTGTCACGCGCTGACAGCTTGTGCAGAAAACAGTCACACATCTTTACATACTGGAGAAAGACTCTGTGTTAAGCTTGTTTAAAATGGCCGATATCAACACTAGTGTCTGTTTGAATCTGTGTACAGCAGTCTTCCCAGTATTTGCACTTTCAAAAACGTATACAAATATGTAATGTTAATGTACAAATCAAGACTGAAAAAGGCTTGAGCGCCTCCATCCAGTGAGAGATGAAAGGCAAAGCGCATTGCAAAGCTGCTCGATTGCCCCGGAGCCTCAATACTGATTAGCCGTCTCAGCGGTGAATAGTTCAAGGCATTTTAAACTTCTTTTCTCAAAGGTCTGACAGACCATTTCTCTTTCTTTTATGTCTTTTGGTATTGTCAAATAAAATTAATAATTTTATTGTGTGTAAATAAAATGTAGTTGACATGAATGAAAAAAACTGTCTGGACTTTTATTATTATTATAATTATTATTAGGCCTATTATATTCTCGTTTCTTTTAACATTCCAAGTAAGTTGAAGTTTTGTTGGTTTTTGCCTGAGGCAATCTGATACCAGTTCACATTTGTGCAAAACATGTATCCGGAAAAACCTGAAATTGCATGTGAGACAAGGAAAGTATCATTTGAAGTAGCTATCATGTAGCCTACACCTGTCTGAAACTTAGTCTCAGTGTGTTTAAAACAGGTCTTACTGCTCGTGCAGTCAGAAAATCTGTTTCTTTTTAATTCAGTATGCACTCGCAGAAGAACATAAGTTAATATAAAATTAAAAACGAATTAAACAAATTATACTGAACGTAAAATATGACAACAGGTATAGTTACAGCATGCAATTGCTTGGTTAATTTTTTTTGGGGGGGGGGGGCTTACAAGTTTTATAGCCGATACAGTAAGCAAAAAATAAATAAATACAATAAAACATTACTTGCCCCGTGTTATTTTAGAACTTTTTAGAAGTAAAATAATTATATGTCATATTCATTTTTTTTATATTTAATTAGGCCAAAAACGTCGTTAAAAGTACTTTAGAAAAAAAAAGGAAAAACAACAACTGGGTTGTTTTACTTGGCAGCTGTATTCTATAGAATAAATGACCAGTGGTTGATTTTCTGTTTCTGCCTCGATTGAAAATAGGCTAAACACGGGGAATAGGTTCTTGTCTTACCGCAGGTTTTAAAGAAAACCCTTTCCAAACTGAATAAAGCAGAGGGACATGCCCCTCAAATTAAGTGACTCTTCTCCAGGATGCTTCTTTTGCCCTTTTCTCCGTCACTCGCGGCAAATAATCAGCTTCAAAAGCTGACGTGAAGTAAGAAAAGGATTGACAGCAACTGACAAATAACTAACTGATTGATTGCGGTCGAGCAGAATTGACAGTTGACGGAGGGGTGGGATAGAAATAGAAGGGCGGTGTATATTATATTGAAAACATGTGACATTCACATCCCTCTATCACTGCATTGGTCTGCTCTTGTCAACGCTTGTCTGATTGGGGAATTCAAACACTACAAGTTGATCTTATGTTTCTGGTTTAATGTTACCAGCCCACTTGCATAACAGTACAAAAAGACTAAACGCACATAGCATCTTGGAAGAAGACTACATTTCATTTAATACAAAAAAGAAAAAAAGTATTAAACCAAAAAGCTAGATGGTTCATAAAATGTAGTCCATCATACAAAGGGGTGTATAATAAATTTAAAAAAAAGAATCCCAAAAACTTTAATGTTTTATTTCTGTTTTTGTTGTTGGTGGTGTTAATTATCATCAATAAAAAGCGACTCTTATAAAAAGCCTACAAATCAGTCGAAGAATAAAGCTATGAGAGGGAATTATTTTTTTCACACTTAGTTTATATTTTAAAAAAGATGGCAACTCCAAGGCAATCTGCTCGTGAAAATGAATAACGAGCATTTTAAATAAAAAAAAATTGACACAGGCAGCGGGCGTGTACGACAACCTACATATTGAGCAAAATCTCCTCCCTCAAGTTGTCAAAATAGAGGCGCTTACAGAAGGAGGAACGTCACATCCCCTTGACCCTCCAATCACCTCGGGGTCCCATTTGATTGGAAGGCGGCAAGGGCTTTAATCTCGGACTAATACAGCTGCTTTTGAAGTGAAATTTTCTACTAGTTCTTGGTTTGGGAGGACAAGCGCGGACCTACGGGAAGAGACAGAGCGCGCGCTATGCCTGTAGTGTCACACGCGGCTCCGGATCTGCGATAGCCTCACGCTCTGCTCCAGACGGATTATACTATTTATCTTTATTTCTGCTATTTGAAAGAAGATTACGGCGTAGTTTTTTATTTATGAATCTGATAGATGAAATACCAACCAAATACATGAGAATTGGGTCATGATCACATCGCCCTCTGCTTCTGCTTCAAGAAATAGTGATACTGATCTAGTCTGGGAAAGCAGCAGCAGCTCTCGGAATAACAACTCCGCGCTCGTCAGCAAGCCTTTTCTCCGTTACGTCCCTCCTTCGGACCCTTTACGGCAAGCTAACCGACTTCCCATAAAGATTTTGAAAATGCTTACCGCACGCACAGGACACATTTTACACCCTGAATATCTTCAGCCATTGCCATCCACCCCGATCAGTCCAATTGAGGTAAGATGCGAATTCGATGGTTTTTTTTAAGCTGTTCCAAGTATTTTGTCCGCATTCTCTTTTTCCCGGAGAAATGACGGGACATTATTGGAATCTGGGATTGGACGTAGCGGAGCAGAGAGGATCAAATTAATAAAATATTATAGCTAACATAGTATTTTAATTTGACCAGTCTTTCTCTTTAATTCAGCTAACATAGTAAACACGCCTTTGGCATAGGATATTTACCATTTCAGCCCGTTTTGCGCGATGCGCATATTCTCGAATCTCTTACAACGTTCAAATAGAAGCGACGAGTCGTTTGATGAAGTTTATTTGTTGTGTACTTTGACAAATACGTTGCAATGATTGCGCCTGCACACATTTGATGTGTCTTAATCTTTTATTTGTATCTATCCTCGCAGCTCGATGCCAAGAAAAGTCCTCTGGCTCTTCTTGCGCAAACATGCTCTCAGATCGGTAAACCGGACCCTCCACCCTCCTCCAAACACTCATCAAACGGAACTAACGACAAAGAGTCGAAATCTGGTCCTTTAAAACTGAGTGACATCGGTGTGGAAGACAAATCCAGCTTCAAGCCGTACTCAAAGCCAGCGGATAAGAAGGACTCGTCTTCTGGGGTGTCTAACGGAGAGAAGTCTGGTTTCCGTGTGCCTAGCGCCACCTGCCAGCCGTTCACTCCCAGGACTGGCAGCCCGAATTCCAGCACTTCGGCTTCCCCGATGCCGTCAGATGGGAAGGGAGAGAGAGATGAAAAGAAAGAGTCTGATTGTAATAAAAACTGCACCTCAGATGGATCTGCACCGACCAGCGTCAGCCACAGCCGGATAAGCGTGAGCTGTGCGGGAATTAACGTGGAAGTCAACCAGCACCAGGAAACCACATCAGGATCCAAAGCAGCGACGTCGGAGTCCTCGTGTGTCACCTCTTCTTCCTCAGCCTCTGTCCTGGGGTCAGGACTGGTAGCCCCCGTTTCTCCGTACAAACCCGGACAGACTGTTTTTCCTCTATCCCCGGCTGGCATGACGTACCCTGGAAGTTTAGCAGGGGCCTACGCTGGCTACCCTCAACACTTTCTGCCCCACGGTGGAAGTCTGGTCAATGCACAGTTTGCCAGCTCGCTGGGCTGCAGTAAAGCTGGCTCAAGCCCCCTAGCTGGGGCATCCCCTCCATCTATAATGTCTGCTAGCCTTTGTAGGGACCCTTATTGCTTGAGTTACCACTGTGCCAGCCACTTAGCCGGTGCAGCCGGAGCTTCCTGCACACACGACTCGGCGGCCGCGGCTGCTTTGAAGTCCGGATATCCACTCATGTACCCGACACACCCTTTGCACGGTGTTCACTCCTCGCCGCCATCTTTTGGTGGACACCATTTGTATCCCTATGGCTTCGTGCTGCCCAACGACCCTCTACCGCATGTGTGTAACTGGGTGTCAGCAAATGGACCTTGTGACAAGCGTTTCTCGTCCTCCGAAGAACTTCTTAACCACCTGAGGACGCACACCGCGTTCACCGGGACCGACAAGTTGATATCGGGTTATCCCAGTTCATCATCGTTAGCTAGTGCTGCCGCCGCAGCTATGGCGTGCCATATGCACATGCCGCCCTCAGGAGCCCCTGGGAGCCCCGGGACACTGGCACTTAGGAGCCCGCATCACGCGTTAGGACTAAGCAGCCGCTATCACCCGTATTCGAAGAGTCCGTTGCCTACTCACGGCGCACCGGTTCCGTTACCTGCAGCCACCGGTCCTTATTACTCTCCCTATGCACTGTACGGTCAAAGACTCACCACAGCAGCAGCGCTTGGATACCAGTAAACAAAAAAATCAGACTTTGTCCAAATTTATAGATTATAAAGATTGAAATATAAAGACTTTTATATCATCGCGCCACTGAAGGACTGGATCCGTGGACTCACTGTATTTATTTATGTCAGCTTAAAGCGGACGATAATACAAATTAAAATATTTGAGCAACTCAAAAGTGCATTACATTTGAACTGAACTCTGTAGATAACGTGAAACACATGTTAGAGTACTAATAAAATAGGGGTCTTCAGTTGGATGTTGATTTGGAATTGCTATGATTGTATTGTTCGTTATTATTTAATGTCTCATTGAAAAGAAGATAATTTCCATGCATGTTTGTTTCTTAAATCCCACATTGTCCACATGATTTGAAATTGCCGTTATTTTTCAGGTGTAGCCTACACCACGGAGAGAGAATTGGTATTTTTTGTATGTATTCTGGAAAATAAGAAACAATTCTGTTCCATATTTCTGTCTTCAGTATTCATTAACTTAACATCACCAAAACTGAACTCAAACTAAATTCTGTCATTTAAGGATATTGATTTTGCCGTTTTAAATACAAATCATGTCATTTCCACGGTTGCAGCCTTTTTCAGGTTTTACAATTCTGCTAAATGATTTAACTGCGAGTAAGAGTTTAAATTATGAATGCATTCGTCGGTGTCTGAGAGATTCTATCATTATTATTATTATTGTTTATTTTTATTTTTTTAATGGTTGATCCAGCAGATAATTTCAGGCTAGTTTTATTACTTATGAATTTAATTAAGTTGTATTACTAATGAATGAATTTAAAAAAGTGTTTATTTATAAATACAAAAAGAAATGTATGAATTGCCACTTTATTTCATCTTACGGTACGGCGTTAAATTAATTAATGGGACGTGTTGTCTTTTTTTCAAATTTTTAAAGAGACGAAATGTTTTTTAGCATAGCCTAACCTTCATGTGATTGACACAACCGGTGTTTGCTTTCTAATTCAGTTTCGTAACACTACCATATTGTCAGTCCATCATCTCACCATATATCGAATATTTATGTTCACTTAAGAATATAAACGGCTCTTGCATTTTGAGCGTGCATTTGTTGTGGTGTTGTTGAACAAGATTGTGTTTTGTAATGATATATAGGCTCGTTTGCAGTAAGTTATAACTGCTGTCGTCAATGGCTTATTGTGGACAATGACATGTTCGAGAACCGCTATACCAGACTATAGCCTAGACAATATTGAGAGTGCTTTGTTTATATAAATATTATTGGAAACAGATACAACGTTTAAAAGAAATCACGAATAACCCATATTTTAAGTGTTATATTACTGTACACACTTGTGTTAACCTATTTGCTATAGATCACCCAATATCAGTTTTAAATCTGTTTTAAGTGGCTTCACGAAAAAATATTTTTCATTATCAGCTTGTCGAGATTTTTACATTTACACATGCAAAGTATAAGTACACACTTTTTTCAGAGTCGACTATATTCTACCACTGTCAGCAACATTTTAATTCGGTGAGCAAACACAAACATTGTCATTAGACTAGACTTGTAAATCATACCTGTCATTAAATTAAACACTAGTTTCCAGCTAAAAAAAAACAAAAACAAAGCAGGATTTGTGTTATATTGTGTTGTTTTATTTAGGCCTATCTATGGATCTGTTTTTTTTTTTTAATGTGTGCTCACCAAATTATTATTTTTTTTAAATCCTCTTTTTTTGCGTACACATTTAAACAGGAAATAATTTATGAAACTATACATTTCTATTAACGATTATAATTTGTTTAAAAACCGTGTAACCAAAAGGGAAAACAAGAAAAAACATTATCGAATGCATTTAGTAATAATGCAAAAATAAAAACTCCTCCCAAAAAATGATGAAGCCGTCAGGTCCAGGTCTGGGATAACGCATAAGGACAGAAAATAATACAGGCTACTTTGATATTTTGTTTGCGAGACGAATAATAAAAAACGTGTTTAATGTCCTCTAGCAGTAGTGCTTTTATATTGTTTAAAAAAAATCATAATTTTTGAGGAAATGGCAACTTTGCAATATACGCAGGTATCGAATAAAGCAATTTACTTAATTACGAGTCTTCACTACAGACATATGTAATTTAATAATATACCCTGCCATATCAAATATAAAGTACAAATCGTCTCACGACATTTTAGGTGTATTTTTTTCGTTAACTCTTCATGCCTTATGCTAAACAAACTGCACAAAGCTTACATGCCGTTATTACAATGTAACAATATTTCAGTGCAGTTGAATATCCTATAGGTTATGTATGTACTGTTTATGCTTTAAAAAGTATTTATGTATGTGTGTGTTTATTTTAATTTTGGGATAAATGACAATTAACCCCGGAATGGAATATTAAATAATATAGGCCTAGACTATAAATAAATGAACTAAAGTAATAACTAATGACACAAGATTAATTAATGATTGTATTTACACTCCAAAAACAGTTCATTAAAGATGGAAAACTTCACCTGCCCAGTAATGTCATAGACGAGCAACTAGACTATGTTCTGGAGGCCCACACAAGCTTTAAACTGATGTAATGACAGTGAAAGAGAGCAATTTCCATTTTTACCCACATCATGGTGGCTGTGAGGAGGTCCCCGATGGAAAGCCATTCATCATGTGCCCCTCCTCCCGGGCCTGTAGCTAGCAGGCACATGTGTGCATAAATTACCCCGCTTGCCTTCTTCCACTGCTGTTCAGTGTGGCTAAGGAGTATAAAGAGGAACAGAACTCCACTGCCTGCTAGTAAAGCATGACTTACACCACTGATCAGCCCTGCAATGAGCATGTTTATAAGGGTGATAAATAAAGTGAATACCTTCCACAGTGGTCTCATGTAAGGTGCCAGGCAACCACAATCTGGAAAATAGGATGACTGGAATGCCAGATTAACCTGTGACAACAACGGCTTGTTATAAAGATGAATTTGAGTCCACAGCCTCATTTCTGAGTAGAAACATTTCATAGATCAACAACACAGCATGCCACATGACTTTTATAAAACTGAAAGTGTTAACCATCGTGTTCTTTTAGGGCTCTATAAGACCCAGAGGTCCTCAAGAAGTCCACTTTGCACTAAATTATCAGATTCAAAGTTTTTTTTTTTCTTTGTCAATTATATAAGAACTGGTTATAAACAAAATAAAGGGTTAACAAGTACGCTCTATAATAAAGGTTTCATTACTTATGCATGTGGCCTCAAAACAACCCAGGTATAAACTATAAAAAAAAAAAAAAAAAAAAGAATTGCCAGATGTGTGATTTGCTTTATTGTATTTTTCGACAATGTGTTTTTCCTTCAGTCAAATCCAACACTGAACAGGAATTCTGAATAACAGCTTTGATGTAAAACAGAGTCTTCGAAAATATCTGCCTGATGAGTCAGAGGAGCTTATTACTTATTTTGAAAGGCAAAAAAGTAGATTAATTTTAAAACTACTATTAATATAATTTTTTCACATGCAGCACACTGACAAAAACAAACACAAAAGTTTTTTTTTCATTGTACTGTGTGTAAAAAAATATTATTAATACTAGATTTAAACTATTTTTTACAAATAAATGACTAGTAAATTTCACAAATAATTAAGAAGAAATGCAATTTACACTGAATTAAATGTGATATTTGGAGTAGAAAGACTGAAGTATTATTTTCTTGTAAAACCAATACAACCCAATATTCTTTGTTTTATTTACAACTTTGAAAAAATATATTTTTTGTTTTTTTACAGTGTGCTGGGACTTAACATGATTAATAATTAACATGTGTACAGAGTATAGCCACACCTTAGGTTTAATGCCAGAGGTGCTAAAAAACTAATTGCATTGGTAGAGATGCATGGCTGAATTATGGACCACACTGAGGAGGCTGTGCCAAGGTATGCTGACACACGAGGCCTTCCTGCTCTGTATCTACCCTTTTACTGGAGCTGCTATGAGCCCACTTACCACTGAAAGCTGGACTTTAGAAGACACCTGGATTGCCACCACTGATTTGCACTTCACTCTTTTATTAAATAGCACAAAATTACTACTGACACCAATGTAATTGTGCGTGTGATAAAATAAACAGACACGCTGTAGTCTGACATGGTAATCCTATATGCTTTGAGCAACAGCTGTGTCAATATGTGAGTGCCACGCAAATGCTAAACTTCTAGACATAAGTCAGAGACAATTATGTCCCTCTCTCATGAGAGTGGCTTGATTTATGGGATTATGGGATTGAGACAAAATCCTTTTTAGCTGCGATAAGGGCGATTATCATTACAATCTTTCAAATGAGGAAGATGTTTTTGTTTGACAGTCTAGCAATAGGCTTACTATCTTTTACATAATGTTTAGAGCATTTAAAAACAGCTTTAATTTAACCTTGGAAAGTACAAAACTTTTTTTTTTTTTTTTTTGTATAGCTCATATAAATCTCTTCACCAAAAGGTGATCTGCTACGACACATAACTATCTTCAAGAGCGATTTATGTTGACACAGGAGGTGGAAATGACCACAGCTTTTGTGATTGCAGTAATGAAGCTATAAACCAAATAGCATGAAATGAAGCAGGAGCTCCACGATTTAATCAGCTCATAAACAGATCCACTGCATCAAGCAAATGACGTTATTACCCATCTGAAGTAAATCTTGCTAATCTCCAGAGATAAAATCAACATCATCAATGGTCACATGTCATATTCATCAATGCTAAATCGTCCCCTTTTGACAGATTAATCCCGGCCGTGGCTCCCTGAGAGAGTGGTAATGGAGACCCAGGCAAACAATTCATTCACTGAACATGTCAGGCTCCTAGTATCGCTCGGTGCTTACACACGCTCTCTCTCCCTCATTGATTTACAAATTCAAAGTGCTCATCAAGGTGAGATAGGCCCAAAGAAAAATGGCTTCCGTGACGGCTTGTCATTCAAAGGGCCTGCAATGCGAGGCACCTTCTTCTGCTTTAAGTGCCTAATTGAGGTCATTTACAGCAGCTCTTGGGGCTTTGCTGTCATATCTCAATGCCTGTTTCATTTGCACATTTTGGGGTTTTGACAAAGAATATTTTATGGAAATGAGACCATTCTCTGAGAATACTTAATGGGTTTTTTCGCAAAGAGCCCAGTGATGGCTCGGATGTCTGTCGATGATAAATAGCTGAGGAGATTTCTAAGATGAGCTTGTAGTAGAGACCATGTGCTTGTGTTTGCAATGATCCGAGTCTCCATGTCTTTATTTTGCTTGACCAAACTTCTGCAAGGTCACGCTAATTGCTGAAGTTCAAGAACATTGCACAAATGTAATGTATTTTAGTAATGCTACATGTAATATAGTACTGTTGGACAATTTATTGATAGTTTAATGTAATCATTTGAAATTTACTATTTATTTTTGTCTCATTAGAAATTCTTTGTTTATATTTATGCAAACAACCTACATTTCAACCTGTGTTTTGTGGTATTGCTAGCGCCATCTACTATTTAGCTCTCTGTGAAAT